TGAGACCTGAAATGCTTTAAAGGAGTGCAAGCAGCAGCATGGCAAAAGATTTGACCACTACTCCCCTGTTTCCTTGGACCGATCATCTCATTGTCGAGAAGTACTGGAGGATTATAGGAGCCAGTTGTCTCTTGTTGTTTGATTCTTTGCCAGCATCTCCAAACTTCCAAACGCCCAAAGACAGGATGAGGAAGACAAACATTTCCTGTTTGCTGTTGGCTGTTTCAGATTTCTACCAATGATGTGAGATAACGTGGCCCGGTCTTTTTTCCCCTGCTAAGTGTGTTAGTGGTGAAGCCAAAACAGACTTCCTCCAACCGGCATCATGCTGAGAGGAAGAGAAAGAGTGGAGGACTGAGAACGGCACATAACAGACATACAACATCTGGAGGAGGAGAGGATGGAGAGCCAGGTAATGTAAATGTGATCTGTTGTGTCACTGGAACTGCAAATGACAGCAAAATTCCCAGAACAAGGACAACAGGATGTATCATACAGTGTAAATAAGTAGACCATACAGTGAAGAAAATATCATAATTCTATTTAAGCATCGCCCATCATCATGCAGATTGAATATTTAACTAGAAATATGGATTTAAATACCACCTTAATGCCGATGCTTGTGTGGCACTGACTTACAATATTATGTCCTTATGTAATAAAATGAGCATACTGTACCTCACACCATCTCAACACCCTCAAACAGGAAAGTTGTAGTATACAATATGTGTTGCATACATGTTGAGTTTTATTTATGTTTTGACAGTTTGTTTTTGTTTGGACATTAGCTGGATTCGTGGTTGTGTGTGTAGCTTTGGAGCCTATGCAGGGTGGTTACACTGTGACTGACATTCACCTCCTCAAAAATGGTAACTACACAGCAGGTCTTTGACGTCTACAGCGATACCATATGGCATGAACCATGTTTGGTCAGCTCGGGTTGTTTGTGTTCTCTCCTACAAGTTTATGATGCCGGTGGAGATTGCTGAGAGTGAAGACAACATTAAGTAAAGTGAATAAAGTTATCAGCAGTTTTTCAGTGATACACATCAAAAACCATTTCCACTGCAAACCCTTTGCTCACCATGATCATTGTGATCTATCACAGTGAAAAAAACGGTGCAACAGTAGTCTCCTATTCAATACTGACTAACTAACTAACTAAACAGACAATGACAAACTACTGCTTCTCTAATGCAACATCTCAGCATCGCAATATATTTTCGTGGTTGGCCTGGAAACGTAGCATGATGAGACAAGAAATCCTCCTGAGACCCAAACAGGTTACATGCACCAATTCATGCATGTAACCTGTTTGAGTCCTAATGTGCTGTGTAGAGTACATCTTGGGCTTTCTAGTGATGTCAAACAAATGGGGGTGTGGCCAACATAGCAAATGTTCTGTCTTTTCAAAATGACGGAAATCACAGCAAGCAGCTTTTATGGCCCTAAGAGAGGCAATTGATCTAATTTATACAAATATCATGTTTGTAATGTTAATAATGCTTTTGTTTTTTATGGATGAAAGCCTTTTATTACTAAGATTTAAGAGGTGTATGGTAAATGTAAGCCTCTTAAAATACACTCTTAAGTCCATGTCCTTTGTAGGGGACGGTGGGTTTTGCTTCCACTCATTTTCCATATTTTTAAGGAATAGAGCACTGAGTGAGGCAGACAATATTTGCAAATGCAACATGTTTCTTTGTGAAAATCAAAATTCAAAACATTTTTTCTTCCGGGTCTCAAGAGACATTTAACCGTCCCTCATTTTGTTGACAACTGCTTCAAAAACTTCAAGAACAAGCCTCATTAGAGTCAGCACTCAGACCACCATTTATCATTTGGAAATGCCCTCGGTGGTTCCTGGTACACTTTAAAGGACACCAAACAGAAAGAAACTCCTGTAAAACTGGAGGTGGGAGAGAGAGAGAGACGAGAGAGAGAGAGAGAGAGAGAGAGAGAGAGAGAGAGGTTCATAATTACTTTCAGGCAAGGCTGTCTTCAACTCCCTGTGATTACTGAAGGCTAAATGTTAATCTTAACCACTTACCGAAGAATGATGACACAGCAGCCTATTTCAGTGCAGGCAGGGCATGCCAAGCCCAGATATTACTATAAACCCCCAAACACTTGGAAATAATGAAAATATTAGAATGAAAAGCCTACTTGTAAAGGCACAGATATTTTCCACACTGATGTAGCAGTAGGTCTGTAGAAGTTTATCTCAATCATCAGGTTGTATGAAGTCTGTAGAAAGTGGAATACAGATCACCACAGTGAAGGTTTTAGGTGTCTACTTGAAAGTGTTTACATGCTTTAATGTTCAAAAAACATTATTTTTCTCATTCGTATTCATACTGACGCTTTGAGAAAGCCTGACAAAGCATTGGTATTTGACACCAAAGTTACCCTTCAGCTTCCGTATGAGATGCGCTGGGCTTTCAAGTAACTGCAATGTAACCCATCCTCCGTCACATAATGTATCCTAAGTAATGTTGATGATTGTGGTTTGTCTGTCATGGTTCGTCCACACCACATCACCAGAACCAAACGCTTCAAAGCTGCTTTTGAACTTGACTCTGATGTTTGAAACAGTTTCTTCTTTTAACCCAAGCCCATATCTTCCCTTCAGTAAATCGTTCTATTCGCTGTGTGGCAATGACAGACTCTTCAATTCAGAATGATTATCAAAGGTGTGGAAGTGCATTCAACCGGATAACTCAGCTGCAAATGAAAAAAAAAAAACAAGTGGAGGAAGGGAAACACTGTCAAACTGTGCTTCTTGTTGGTGCTCACATCGTCACACACACCACTACAAGACATTACGCACCAAACTTGCACTAAATAAACTGATAAAGATAAAAATCCCAATTTAACCAAAATTCAGGCAAAAGTAGCGAGAAGCAAAAACACATGAAACATAATGGGACAACAAAGTCAAAATGACAGTAATTCACTAAAATTAGTAGAGTATGCCTTTAATGTAAACTCGAATCAATTACCTCCACTGTCCACATGTGGTGGCATCAATTTTTGAAGTGCATCAGCATGTGAAATCATGTTTAGCACTGGATGTTAGGGAACAGAGAAACGTATAGGGTCCATTATAGTTTATATTCAGTCCTCTGCAGTGGCATGTCCTCAGAACATGCAAGATTTATCAGCAGCTCTGAGCAGAAGTCGGGTCAGTCAGGTCACAGCATCTTCCAGAACAAACTGACCTCTCCCTAATCCCCACATATTTCCTGCCGGAGGGAGGGGAGGGGGCTGTATTTAGCTGGTCTTCACCCTGGGAATCCCTCCAGAGCAGCTGAGATGTTGATAACAAACATCTCACTCTGACACTAACAATGGAGGGTGACGTGCATTCATTTAGTAAAAGGAGTACCACAGTGTAAATCAGTAAAAGAAAAATCCTGAATATGAAAGTGTAAGTGTTAAATTGTCCCAGATAGAGTGGAAGATAATGTTGAGCTTTTAAAAGGTTGACCTGTTGAAGATTGTTTCCCCCTAATAATCTCATCCTGAATGGCTATTTTGACTCTACAAAGTAACCAGCAACTCCTCTATGTCCAACCAAAGTACAATATTTGCCTCTGAAATGTGGTTGAGGAAATGTGGAAACTGCACTGAAGCACAGAAGTGAAATAAACGGGTTCACTTTAATCTTTAATGTCTGTTTTAAAAGGTGTTGTGTGGACTGTAATGTTTAAGGTATGTTTTTCAATGTGGACCCCAGGAAGACTAGCTAATGGGGATCCACGCAGCTCACGTTAGACTGGTCGGCGAAAGTCAGCCGCAGTCGTCTTGAACGCGCCTAATGAAACGTTGCAATTATTTGCAAACACTGCCATCTAGTGTCTACCTGTCAGTATTAGGGAGAAACCGCTGAGGAGTATAGAAAGCCTAACGTGGCACATTTTATTTTCACTCAACATGTACACACTGACTTCTTCCTTTGGTAAATACAAAATAGGCCTACATCTTAATTCACCTTCAACAACTGTGGCAAAAGCACTAAACGTGCATCAGTGTCCTCACTTTCATTTTGTTGCAGTTTCAGACACTAGTTTAATCAGTTGGATAGAACAGTTTTTATTTTTGTGGATGTGGATGTTTGGAAAAAGAGAGGCCATATTTTTAGTATTAGTGCTTAAACATTAGTGGAATGATTGTTGAAGTTCTGTTTTGTTTTTTTTCTAAGATCATCACATAATTATTTATTATTAGTTTTTCTAAAGGCAGTGGGTCGTTCTTAAATTGGAGGACTTACTGCCATTCTCTATTTTATATCATTGTAAACCAAAACATATTTGCATTTCGAATTGTTGGTGAGCTACATGATGCTTTGCACAGATTAATCCAATCTTTCTTTTCATAAATGAACAAGCTGAGTGGGGACAACTTAAGAATGATGAGTGTAGTCAAAACCTAAAATGTAGGACAAATGGAGTATTTACTGATCAGACAGTTTAATTAAATAAGCGATCTTCTTCCAGCTGCAGGGTGTCAAGTGCATTCATCTGTGCATCAACAGGCATGCGTCCAGAGTCCCATCCAGTCCTCCCTGTATGTCTCTAGCTGCAGTGAACGTCAGGGGGCGCACAGAGACAAGGTATAGACAGACAGAGTATGGAAGAGTATTTCCACTAAAACAAGCCAGAGAAATTTACATTCCCATCCAGTGCGCAATAAAAATATGTTGGTTATCATACTAATCACACAAACCCACCATGAAGAAGAGATTTTACAGATAGAAAAAAATACACATAAAGTGGGCTAAATATATTTAGTGCAAGTAACTTCCTCTTTGGAAACAGAGCTATTGTGATGCATGATGGATGGAATATTATTGGAGAATTGCAGGAATACTACAGGGATTAGATATCAAAGAAAGACACAGACGGTAAATTACATTTTCCTTCAGAGAAAATTTTGGATTGTGCATATGCTGTGTGCGTGCGTGCACAATCTACGCGCGTGCACGTACTTATGGATGCGTGTGCGCGCAGGCGGAGGATCGCCGAGTCGAACCGTACCGTGCAGCAGGCACAAGCCGCTGGGTGCGCAGGAGAAGCCGCAAAAAAATACAGCAGCCGCTGCTTGAAACTGCGAGGAGAGCAGAGGGAGCGTCGGAACTTCAGTGTGCTCGGTAAGAGTGGGTTTATTTTGCTATTTTTCTCCCCAAAAGAGCCCTTTGGATGCTTTGGGCTGTTTTATTGTTATTTTTTCATCCCTTTTGTCTTTTTCCATCTCTCCATTTGGGTAGCCGGGGCGCACGCCGCATGGATGAGTGTAGGTAACGAGACAAAAGGTCTTGTACATTTGTTGAAAAAAATAAAGGAAATAGAACAAAAACTGAGCTGAACTGGAAAATTTTGGCATTCAAGAAATGAATTCTTCTATCCTCAATTTTACTGGCGATAAAAAAAATGTGCACGAGCTTAAAAAAGGGGTGTGTGCAGTCTGGAGGAACACGCGCTTCACCCTGAGAAACAGATTCTCGTTTTTCACACTTTTATTGAGGAAAAAATCGCTTCTACTGCGAACAGGAGTGTCTCCCTACGCGCTCCATGCTTTCTTTATTATTTATTGATTACCCTGAAATGGTTTAAGATTATATCATTTCCGCAGTCTGCTAGACAACGCAAAGGGGAGCGTTTTTTCTTGTTAGAGCGAGAAAACAGTTGAACATCCAGAAATAAGAGGAGCCCTCTCCTGCTCGCCCTACCTCTTTGTCTGTGTGGAGGTGTGATACCATTTGGCTACATGAAACGGGCACGCACATATAAACACTATCAAACACATTCAGGGTCTCTAACCAGAATGTGTCATCATTTAGATGAATTATTGATCTCATATTTCCATTTTATTGCACTGTGAAGAAGAAGGAGGAGGAGGATGGAGGGTGGAAAAAAATGAGGAGGGGGGGGGGGGGGGGGGGGGTGGGGGAGCGTGTGTGAGATGGGGGGTGATGGGGAATTGGGAGTTTACCCGAATCCCCCCCTCCGCATGTACAGACATTAAGTAAATCCTTTCACTCTGCTTCTGTTACTGCTGCATCGTCGTTGCATGTTATTTCAGCAGCGTGTCCAACTTTATTAGCCATTCTCCGTCGGTTAATTGCCTGGTCCTTTGTTTGACGCGGCACGCATGCGCACTGGGAGTAGGGTGTGGATGGGAGCGATGCCACCTTGCCTATCAATAGGATGGAGAGGAGGAGGATGGAGGGGGATTAATTCTTTGTCGATTCATTTAGTCTGGAGATAAAAAATGATTAGTGAAATAAAATGAGCTTCTTTTTGTGGAGGGGAGATTGTGCGCGTGCGTGTGTTAGGAGATGCTAGATGGCAGTTTGTGTGTGAAGGGACACACAGTGATAGTGATGCTGCTTCACAAGTAGACAGCCTTTTCACTGTAATATCATTCAGTAGATCACAGTGATGATGTAGTGCTAAAATAATTAGTTAATGAACTGATGAATCCATTAGTTGATGTAAGAAATTTAATAAACAGCAGTGCTGATAATCAGGAAACCATTAAAGCAAAAATGCCACAAAATCAGCTTTAAGATTTTCAAATGTGAATATTTGCTGCATTTCTGTCCTTTATAACTAAACAAATAGTCGATTAGTCGAAGAAAAGACATTAGCATTAGCTGAAGCCCTGACTCTTCCATGTGAGGTCAGTATAAAGGAATCCTTCTTGGACGGATGTCTGATAATTTCTACTGATTACCTCTATGGTTTCCTTCATAATAGGGTATTGTCTATCTGCTAAATTCAACACTGATATTTTAGTGAAATTGTTGTAGTGTGTGTGTTATCTTCCATTATGTCACTATAATATCCATGCAGTATTTATGTAATTATCCTTTATGGTTATTCATTGTTTAATGATATGCAGTGATGGAAGTAGCTAAGTATTGTTAAACTACTCTTTGTACAATTTGTGAGGTGCTTGTACTTCACATGAGTATTTCCACTTAATGCTACATTATACTTCTACTATACAACGGTTTGGGAAATATGTACTTTTTACCAGACAATGTCCAGTCTGATATTGTGAGATCAATGTTACATCCATGTACAGCTCAGCTCTGAACTATAAGATTCCTGTAAAGCTGTATAGGTACGTGTTGAATTGGAGTGTTTGCAGCAATGGTCTCCCTCTGAGCAGTGTTATAAGATCGCCATAGTAACGGAGGGACCATAGTAATGTGTCCCGCCTGTCTGGCTGCTGATTGGCTGTCATAAATCCAGCCTTGAGTCCGCTCATTCATCCTGCTGGACGGAGACAAACAACAATCTGATGAGGAGTTATGACGGTGAGTCATCCATTACCACCGCTGTCAGCTGCTCAAGGTGTGTGTGTGTGCGTGTGTGTCTCAGAGAGGAGAGCAGAGTCATAGCAATGATACTTCTCTCGTCCTCCCAAATCGTCACTATCTGACTGTTTTCTGTCTGACACACATACACATACAATATAGATATAAAACTATAAAGACAGGATGTTATAGTAGTCATAACAGAGAAGTCCGCATACTTTTGTCAGACTTAGATGAGAGGTAGACAGTAGAAACAGTGTGTGTGTGTATGTGTGTGACACACAAGTGAGAGAGTGTGTGAGCAAGGTACCGTGCCATGTGTCCTCTCTCCTCTTGGGGACCCTGCTGATCTCAGAAGGTGCCCTCTTTGTCTGACTTTGATGTTCCCTCCCAGCAGAGAACAGTCAAATATTTAAAATACAAACTTTGTGGAGGCTCCTGTGAGTCATGTGATCAACAGGATCACTTTAACAGGACGCAGCGCCATCTTAATTAAACCATCAGGCTGCGTGTGATGCCGACAGAGGCTCGTTAACTTACAGGAGAGGAGATGGAGCAGAACAATGGGAGGCTGCAGCTGCTGCTTAACGCACATGCAACTGAAGGTGGGGAATGGGTGCATCTGCAGGTTGAGTCACCACTGCTGAATTTTTATTTGTTTTACATTTTAACACAATTGGGTCTGAAAAAAGATTCGGTACCTTGAAACAAGAAAGAATAGCCATGCAGTAGTATCTGAAATTGCGCGCTGTGGTTGAGGCTGGGATACATTAAAACCAGTATGTATATGACTAGGATGAAATAATGGAGGAAACTTTATTGTGTTGTGGGGTTATGGTACAAACATGGGGACATTTGAGGATTATCTTGGTTGGCGCGACTTGCCGTATGCTAAACTCTTATAGTGTATCAGGGTGTGGGTCAAGAGTGACGCCTGCAAGCTGGTTCAGTCAGTTCGAGTCAGCCGTTGCTGTCACATGGCATACGCATTTCTCCGCAAATTAAATCTATACCCAATGCTATATCTTTTACGGTTACGGTAGTGTGCTGCTCACTATGTTGCTGCCACACAACTCACCTGAAAGCTTTGCTGTCACTTGCTGCTACCGCTGCCGTGGCTGCTGGTGATATTCATATAGCATTTCAAAAGCCACATCCTCACCCATCATCCACCTGTAGGCTCCTGGTTTAAATTCCTTGCCTAGACCCCAAATATCAATGCTGTACATTCATATTAAAATCCACTGAGTTGGCTGAGTGAACTGTTTTTTTACTGCGACTAGTGCTACAACTACTGCATTTCCCACATGTTAAGAATGTATTTGTGGTTGTCCAACATTCAAATTCGGTCATCTGCAAAGAGTCACAGTAAGCCAACATAATTATGAAATGAATGCTTAATACTTTTATAGTTATAATGGCGGAATAGCTGTTGCAGGAGACAGCTCATGTTTGTATCGAGTCAGGGTGTGAAATGGGGAAGTGAATTTCTTGGAAAGTAGCCACAGTTAGCAGCCAATTGTTTTATGCTGTTTCACAGAGCAGCTCACAGCAGTGTGAAGGTATAAATGTTAAGTGTTGGTTGAGTGTTTAGTCTCTATAAAGAGTCCATGAGCTTCAGGGAAACAAGGAGAAGTTGTTGTTTCACACTTGTGGCCTTTAAACTCGAGATTCAAGACTTTTTCAGTCTGTTCTGTTCAACTGTTCAGTGTCCATCACTGCAGCATGCTGGTCTTACAGGAATGAGGTTGTGTACTTTCATTTCAAAGGAAGCATGACACTGTGTATTAAATGCCTTTCTTGGTGCTGTTTATGCTGTAGTGGAGCCACAGTTCAGCACAGGGACTATGGAGGCGGTGACGATCATCAGGAATTTTCATTTCCTGACAACATGATCGCCTGCTGCCTCATAGTTTATATCTGACTGTCTTTTTATAGATGTTATAATGAGTAGCAGCACATAGTCATAGAATGTCCCACTGAGCACACTAAGGTCGTGCCCTTGTGTTTTCTCTGGGAAGTTTGTGGTTTTAGTGACCTGGAGAGATTTACAGTTGAAAATTACACATAGTTGGATTTTTAAGAGCGGACACTAAATCTATTATTAGAACTTCAAAACTACATTTTTTTTATGCATTTCATAGAAAATAGTTTCCAATGAAAACTGTTCTTAAATAGTTTTACTATCCAATATATCTTGCATATTTGTTGTCCTGAATAACCATGACATTGTCTTGAAATAGCACTGTAAAAATGCTGTAATATATACAATAAGAATTTGTTCACCTCCATTGTATTGGGCTGGTGGCTGAAAACTTTGCAGTAGTACAAAAATCTGCAAGTAATACCAGAACCAGTAGGAATTAGCAGTGGGGGATATAGATAAAAATCCTCTATCTAGCTGGTTAAGAAAGTGGACCATTTAGCAGCTAAAGAACCAGATATTTTTCTCAGTTGTTTGTGGAGGCCAGACCAGAGCTAAAAGGAGAGTGAAAATTGGACTTATATTCATCAAACACAAGTTGAATAAGATGATCATGTTGCTCTGGGTTTGCTAGATGTGTAAATAGGAAACATGTTGCCAACATGTTCGCTGTAAAAACAGTAATATGCCAATCTGTGGTGGGTGTATACTTCTTTTCATGTTTTTCAGCCCTCAAGTGGCCAAAAATAGACGCATGCAGCTTTAAAGGTGCTCAGTGATTTTATTGATCACCCTCACATCCATAAATGTGCTCACAGTTTATGTTTTTAAACATCAACAGGAAATTGGGAATACGTTTGTGGATTTGGGGGGTGCTCTAACAAAATCTGAGAGTGTACCT